CGTATTCGATCGTTGCCTCAATTTAGCACTTTTCTCAAAAACGGTTCTATCTAAATTAGAACTCAAAGGTGACTGACTGACTGACAAAGTGATCTATCAACGCACAGCCCAAACCACTGGACGGATCGGGCTGAAAGGCATGCAGGTAGATGTTATGACGTAGGCATCCGCTATGAAAGGATTTTACGAAACTCCACCCCTAAGGGGGTAAAACGGGATCCGCGCGTACGAAGTCGCGGGTGGCCGCTAGTAAAATATAAAACCCACGGACAAAGTCAAAGGTAAGAGTTTCAGCTTAATAATTCTTACAAAACCTTTTGGTAACCGCAAATATTTACGAAGCCACAATGTTATGAAGTCCTGAAATACTCTTTGAAAGCTACTAGCAAACAAGAGCTTTTGTACTGAGAATTTGCAAGAGAATGTCTTTTTAACCGACTAAATAACAAGACAAGAAATATTATAACATTACTAGCTGTGCCCGCGACTTCGAACGCGTGAAAATAGTTTGAATAATTTTTACCGTTTTTGCAACAATCTTCTTTATTGCTCGGCCCCTATTGGCTGTAGCGTGATGAAAACCTTTCTCGATATTTGTTTCATTCACGTAGACGCGCCCCACCATTCTTCCGCTAATATTTGAGTATTATCGGTACTACACACAACTAAATCGTCCATGAGTGCATACGCACACTACAAAAATGCCGCTCGGATTGCTCGGATTAAACTCCCTGCACCTCGCGCTTCCCTCGACCAAAAATTGGTGGGGCGCGTCTTCGTCGATGAAACCATCTGTAAATGGACTGTCCAACAACAAAATTTTTCAAAACGGACCATTAGTTCCTGATATTAATAGCATGTTCAAGCAAACAAACAAACAACTTCTTCAGCTGTATAATATTAGTAAGTAAACTAGCGAACGCACGCGACTTCGTTCGTACGCTGGATCCTATTTTACCCCTTACTTCTTACTGAGCACCTTCGTTATAAAAGGAACCCCCATGCAAAATTTGAGACTTCTAGCACTTGGCTATAGAGTGATGTTAAATATAGCCTAATATAGCCTATTTAAAGCCTTCCTCGATAATTAATAGGCTATCCAGCACAAAAATATTTTTTCAAATCGGTCCAGTAGTTCCTGAGATTAGCGTGTTCAAGCAAACAAACAAATTCGTTTATTTTTGCAAATATAATAAAATAAATAGCACTTTTACACGTCCCAGTATTAACCCTACCACTGCTTCGGGACAATAAATGGGCCAGTGCTGAGAAGAAGCAGCGCAAGAAACTCAGTCACTATTCAGCTGTTTAGTAAATTGATAAAATTAACATTACCTATATTACCTTTTCTAATTTCCCACGTATGTTAACCACTAACATTTCTTAACCCATATAACAATGGGAATTAGAATTTTAAAAAATCCGGGTCAACCCGGGTGCACTCGGCCCGGTCGGAAGCCGGGCAATTTCCCGGCGAGATCAAAGCGAAATTCACTTAGCTTGTTCATCAAAGACGCCGCTGGGTAGGGAGGGGAAAGGGTTTGTTGTCGATAAAAATTAAAATCACAAAATCAAAAAAAAAGTGCACTGGAAAAAAATAAATAATGAGGGCTCTCGTTTTTATACCTAAACTACGTAACACATTAACATTTTATCAACCCGGAAAGGGATCGTAACCGTATCAACTCGAGGCGGTCAGTGTTCTTTGTATGAAACCCCATACTGCAACGCTCAGTGCACGCGATTGATAGCTCGCGAAAGGCGATACGGTGTAGAGCCCTTTCCGAGTTGACAAATCTCTATGACCTTCACAGTTGACAATACTGGTCCTGTACCTTACTCTTCAGTGGGGCCAACTGGTGGGCGCTAAAACGCATTATAATCTAAACAATACCATTACTGATATTTTTGTAGTCAGTGTTACCCTGCCAAGGTCGACGAAGGTACATAATTTTGATGGCACCAACTCCAAAAATCATAATTTATCCAAGCAACCACGTCACACAATCATTTTTCTACATTAAAATTATTATTTGGCTTTAATTTTGGTCATATTTCTCGCTGTTAGTTGTCCTTTTTTCTTTGTTGTTAATAAGTTAATAACGAATAATGGATATCATTAGGATTATTCTAGTGACCACAGATAAGTAACAGAAAAGCAAAATCCCTAATTTCGTTGCGGGCTTTAGCAAAACAACCCAGTTTATCGACACATCCTAGGTACCTGCAATTTCAGTCGCGAGTTCCGTCAAAATAGCCCAATTTATCGACACATCCTTCGTCCTTGTCCCAACACTAGTCTCAAATCAGATTCAGCCTGCGCGCGACTCCGCTATGATCCAATTTAGCCAAGCGCCAACTTTCTAAAACAATTATTAGGTTTAATATGGTGAAAGTTGGTACTCGGGACAAGCTGGGACAAATTGTTTATTCTGCTTATTTAATTTTCTTCCCGCCATTTTTTATTTTAGCTTCTTGACAGTTAAAAAACTTAAGGTACTATGATGGGGCAGAGGGCGTCCACAGACAGTCCTCCATCGCGTTCGGTCTTGAGCTTCGCGTTTGATCGCTCCAAGTCTTGCCGATCTTCTTCGCCTCGTCTGCTACAGTGCAAGTTCTGAGTTCTGTATCCTTTTTTTGTCATTCTAAAATATACAATCATTCTAAAGTCATAAAACACAAATAGTATATCAACAATCGTAAAGGTGTGTCATTTAAAATAATACAATATTTTTTATTAGGTTTACAAGGATTCTAAAAATTAAATAAATTTTATTTCGTTTACAAGGTTTCTTGAGTTAATTAAGTAGATTGGAATCTCCATTTAAGCAATAAATGCCTGTGTTTGGAGGGTCCCCGTCACTATCCTTTTAAAACTCTAGTATGTTCCTCACATTTTGCTACATTTTCCAGTCCAAAACTCTAAAGTAAAAACTTCTGTACATTATTAATCTGTGGCCCAACCAATCCAATATGGCGTTCACGCGCAAACATGGCCGCTCGAGTGTGTCTGCGTTTGACAGCTCATTCCGCGATGGCGCGAAGTGGACGAAGCAAATTGATTTATTGCGAGGAAAATTATTGGATACGCATATTGGCTAAATATAGATTTACAGTGGTTAAAGGGAGGTGAAGTTATAAATTACTAGCTTTCCGCCCGCGGCTTCGCGGTTTTGTCTGTCACAGAAAAACTTTATCGCGCGCGTCCCTGTTTCAAAAACCGGGATAAAAACCTCCTATGTCCTTTCCCGGGACTCAAATGCCAAATTTCATCAAAATCGCTTCAGTGGTTTAGGCGTGAAAGCAAGCGACAGACAGACAGAGTTACTTTCGCATTTATAATATTAGTAGTTATACGAGTACATAGAAGTATAGATTAAAATTTTTAATTCATAAACTTGCCGTTTTGTAATAAGAATTTATGGAAAACTCTTTTCAGTACAAACATACAGGGTGTAACGAACGAGTGATCATTCTAATAAAAACGAGACTAGCAACCGCCCGCGACTTCGTTCGTACGCTAAACCCCGTTTTACTTCGGGGTGGAATTTTGCAAAATCCCATCTTAGTGAGCACCTACGTTCTAAAAGGAACTTGCAAAATTTGAGACTCCTAGCACTTGTAGTTTCAGAGATTTTGTGATGAGTGAGTGAGTGAGTGACAATTCGATTTATATTGTATACTTTACTGTACTTGGATTTATAACTAAAATGACGTCCTTTCCGCTCTGATTCCTTAATGATCACGCTTAATTATTGTCGCACTAATTACTATAGGGCAAGACCTCCTATGTTCGTAACCGCCGACCCGCATGGGCAACGACTCGTGAAGATAAGGGATATAATGCTTTGAAATACCTATAATATGATAGGTTTGGAGATGCGGGACGATAATGTAACCTTTTTTTAACCTATAACAATAAAAGAGGTTCTTAATTCAATATAATGATTGTCACCTCATTAGAAACTCAAATCGAATCTTCATAAATGCGAAATACCACTGATTAATCACGAAATCACAGAAACCATAACACCTACAAATTTGAAATTTTGCAGGTAGGTTCCTTATAGGGTGTAGACGGGNTTACGCTTACCCCCTTAAACCTCGCAACCGATTTTGATGAAATTTGGCATAGAGATAGTTTGAGTCCCGGGAAAGAACATAGGATAGTTTTTATCCCGGTTTTTGAAACAGGGACGCGCGCGATAACGTTTTTCTGTGACAGACAAAATTCCACGCGGGCGAAGCCGCGGGCGGAAAGCTAGTATTATTATATCTTAAGACCTGTTATTAATATTCTTTGCCTCTATTAAACCAAGGCAAACGAAACTCTACCTTTATTGCTCCAGGAACTATTAAGATCCGTAGCGAGCCCGAAGGAAAACCGGGATTGCTTTAACGAGCAATGATGCGTGAAGTGGCTTTGAGTAAAGAAACGTGTATTTTAATTTATTGTTCAACTAGCTGTGCCCGCGACTTCGTACGCGTGAAAATAGTTTGAATAATATTTCCCGTTTTTACAACATTTTTCTTTACTGCTCCTCCTCTATTGGCTGTAGGGTAATGTATACAGGGTGTTAGGCAGGTAAATGGGTATATGAGCCGACACTAGTCCATGTTAACATATACATATAAATGGTATGGTGAAGTCAGAATGATGTCATCATTTTAATTTTTTAAATGTTCATACAAAATAAAATTTATAAAATCAGATTTGTATGAAAATTAAAATAATTAAAATGATGATTATCAATTTTCTGACTTGTCTATACCATTTATATGCATATGTTAACATGAGCTAGAGTCGGCTCATTATACCCATTTACCTAACACCCTGTATAGCCTAAATCATTCCTGAAAAAAATAGAGTATACATATACAACACTAACATATTTTCTCAAATCGGGCCAGTAGTTCCTGAGTTCAAACAAACAAACTCTTCAGCTTATTATTAGTAAGTATAGATTTATCTATAAAGCCTTATTCTTCCCCAGGTCCCCAACAACAGGCACCATGGGCGTAGCATCGGACGGCTACGGCTGGCGCGCGCGCATCGCCGCCATGCGTGAGTCGCGGAAACTGGTGCTTGTCATCGTTGCCATCGCGCTTCTACTGGACAATATGCTGCTCACCACCGTCGGTGAGTAAACCATCAGGTCATTTAGTTTCCACTGTCTCCTGCAAGCCACCAAAACTGGTCAATAGATCATTTTTATCAACATGATATAGTTGCGGACCTAAAATAGAGCCTTGGGGTGTCCCCAACTGTGATTCATAATTCTAATAATTGGAACGCCGATTCACTCTACCACACGGAATCCAGACTCATGTGTTGTTCCCACGGAGTGTCCCGCGAAGAAACTGATCTATTCGAATTTGTAATTTGAATAAAACACAAATTTTATTAATGTGTGTTCACACGACAGTTCAGTTTTGTGGGATCCACCAGCCTTCAGCGTAGATTTGAAAAACATACCGAATCGGTCCAGCCGTTAACTTTTGCGCTAAACGATTCCTTAATTTTATAGACTAGCCCGTTTTCACTATCAATCCCTAATTTTTTAGTGGCCCCTTTGAAAACAAAATTCTGGTTATGTGTACCCCTATGGTAAGGTCACTTAAAAATTAGGGATTGATGGTGAAAACGGGCATAACACTATTATAATATCGTCTACTAAACTAAGTATAACCCTTATCAAGTCCCAAGAACAGGCTCAAATGAATCAACCTCTCTCCGTCTTTATCTATAAACCGCTCACAAACACCCTGTATATCGGAGGTGGCAATCAGAAGAGTGCTTCATTGTAATTCATTACGGTCGGCTATATTTCACGGGGGAATCTATCTTTGCTTTGTCTTAAAAGATTTTAGCTAAAATTGTGTGCTTTGATAGACTATTTTAATAGATTATGACTGTGCCCGCGGCTTCGCACGCTTGAAAATAGTTTGAAATCTTTCCCGTTTTTGAAAAAAAAAACATTGATGCTGTTCTCCTGTAGGTCTTAGCATCATGCTTGCTGCCTTTCTCGATAAATAAAAAAAAAAAGCCTATAGCTTTTCTCGATATCATTATGGTTGCACAGCGAGCTATGGAGAGGGCTATGCTTGGTGTTTCTTTGCGAGATCGAATCAGAAATGAGGAGATCCGTAAACAAACCAAAGTCGATGGCATAGCCCGACGGATTAGCAAACTGAAGTGGCAATGGGCAGGGCACATAGTACGCAGATTTGACGGCCGATGGGGCAGAAAGGTTCTGGAATGGAGGCCGCGTACCGGAAAACGCAGCGTGGGATGTCCACCTACAAGGTGGACCGACGACATCGTAAAGGTAGCAGGGAAGCGCTGGACGCAGGCCGCTACCAATAGATCAACATGGAAAGCATTGGGGGAGGCCTATGTTCAGCAGTGGACGTCCTATGGCTGAAATGATGATGATGATGATGATGATGATTATGGACTATCCAACACAAAAATATTTTTTTTAAATTAGGCCAGTAATTCTTGAGAATACGCAATTTGACATTTCGATGTCAGAAATTCACCAGCATTTTGCACGTTGAACAATTGAATTCTCATTTAATTGATAAAATAAGTTCTAAAAACTGTCTTTTTGAGTTCATTCCATTCATTATTTAAGATTTGACAAGCCCTCATTTGCCTATAATGAGAACAAGTGGCCTCTATTCCTGTCGCCAAGTACCACCCTGTATTCCAAGATGGCGGTACAATCAGTTAAGTGCTCATTGACATTCGGTTCCAGGGGCAGGTGAAGTGTTGGAAGGATTCTGTCATCGATCGACATTATGTTGCTTTGGGGTAGGGATATGGATATGTAGTTTCGGTTATGGATACGGTTACGGATATAGGAATAATAATACCGGTTTCGATTACGGTTACGGATATTTTTTTATTTCGGATATCCGAAAGTTTCGGTTACGGATATCTGTGCTTTAGAACGCATTTTGCAATAGTTGTCCAACACGGTTCATTCATGGCCGCAAACTATACATCGAATAAAAAGTAATAAAAAAATTAAAATTGATACTAAATAGCATTATAAAGGTATATAAATCAAAAAAACAATTTAAACTGCCTACATCCGAAACTATCCGAAACTTTTGAATCGGTTATGGTTACGGTTTCGGATATTTTTTTTTTCGGATATCCGAAAGTTTCGGTTACGGTTAGGGATATCCATAACATCCCTGCTATGGGGCCATAGTTTCTTGCGTATCAGTGGCCTTATTCACGTAACAAAACTTCAACGACTTGCAATCAATTTGATCGCTGGAGTCACTTTTCGTATCTGCTTTGCAATGGAGGGAAGTCGAACCTTAATTTCGAACTCTATAATATGTTCTTCTGATTAATTTCGTTGCGGGTCCAATGACAGTTCAACTTTCCCTCGGGACAAACTTGACCTTCATTGGTTAAGTTTATGGCGGTCAAGCTGTAGATCCTGGCTATACACGAGTTGCAGCGGTGGGAACGAGAGGTGGGAATAGTCCCGTTTTCGTATTCATGTGTTAATCGCCTGGTTTTGTGTCTATTTCGTTTTTATGTGTATTCGATCGTTGCCTCCGCGGTATTCAACTATTATCTATTTTGAAGTTTGGTTTAATCGGATGACAGTGACAGATATTTTAGCACTTTTCTCAAAAACGGCACATCTAAATGTAAATAACTCAAAAGTGACTGAGTGACTGACTGACATAGTGATCTATCAACGCACAGCCCAAACCACTGGACGGATCGGGCTGAAAGGCATGCAGGTAGATGTTATGACGTAGGCTTCCGCTAAGAAAGGATTTTACGAAACTCCACCCATAAGGGGGTAAAACGGGATCCACGCGTACGAAGTCGCGGGTGGCCGCTAGTAAAATATAAAACCCACGGGCAAAGTCAAAGACAAGAGGTAAATAAAAGAGTTATTTCACCAAGTTTCAGCTTAATAATTTATTCTTACAAAACCTTTTGGTAACCGCAAATATTTATGAAGCCACAATGTTATGAAGTCCTGAAATACTCTTTGAAAGCTACTAGCAAACAAGAGCTTTTGTACTGAGAATTTGCGAGAGAATGTCTTTTCAACCGACTAAATAAAAAGACAAGAAATATTATAACATCACCAGTGGGCTGAGTGTAAGTATACATCAAATGTCCTCACTAAGTGGTGAGCGCGTTAAAAATGTATGAAAATTTTAGTTCTTGAACGTTTCCGCTTGGGGCGCTGTACCATCCGTCATACATTTAATGTCATTTTCTAACGCGCTCACTAGTGTGTAGTAGTGAGGACGTTTGACGTTTAAACTCACACTCAGCCCTCTGCTGTGCCCGCGTCTTAGTACGCGTGAAAATACATTGTTATTATATTATTATTTTATTTCCCGTTTTTGCAACATTTTTTTTACGGCTTGGTCTCTATTAGCTGTAGGGTGATGAAAACCTTCCTTGATAAATGGGCTATCGACCAAAAAATATTTTTTCAAATCGGACCAGAAGTTCCTGAGATTAGCGTGTTCAAGCAAACAAACAAACAAATTCTTCAGCTGTATTACTAGCGGCCGCCCACGGCTTCGAACGCGTGGATCCCGTTTTACCCTCTTTAGGGGTTGAATTTTGCAAAATCCCGTCTTAGTGAGCACCTACGTTCTAAAAGGAACCCCCAAGCAAAATTTGAGACTCCTAAGCGCTTGTAGTTTGTGAGATTTCGTGATGAGTGAGTAAATCAGTCAGTCAGTGACCTTTCGCTTTATAGATATAAGTAGATTGATAAAATTAACATTCTATTTTCATGCCTTTTCCCACGTATGTAAAACTATGCGTTTCTTAACCCATGTAACAATGGGAATTAGAATTTTAAAAAATCCGGGTCAACCCACGGTTGCACTCGGCCCGGTCGGAAGCCGGGCAATTTCCCGGCGAGATCAAAGCGAAATTCACTTAGCTTGTTCATCAAAGACGCCGCTGGTTAGGGATGGGAAAGGGTTTGTTGTCGATAAAAATTAAAATTACAAAAAAAAAAGTGCACTGGAAAATAAAAAATAATGAGGGCTCTCGTTTTTATACCTAAACTACGTAACACATTAACATTTTATCAACCCGGAAAGGGATCGTAACCATATCAACTCGAGGCGGTCAGTGTTCTTTGTATGAAACTCCATACTGCAACGCTCACCCGCACGCGATTAATAGCTCGCGTAAGGCAATACGGTGTTGATCTCTTTCCGAGTTGACAAATCACAAATCTCTATGACCTTTACTGCAGTTGACAATACTGGACAGGACCTTACTCCTCAGTGGGGCCAACTGGTGGGCCCTAAAACGCATTATAATCTAAACAATACCATTATTGATATTTTTGTAGTCAGTGTTACCCTGCCAAGGTCGACGAAGGTACATAATTTTGATGGCACCAACTCCAAAAATCATAATTTATCCAAGCAACCACGTCACACAATCATTTTTCTACATTAAAATTATTATTTGGCTTTAATTTTGGTCATATTTCTCGCTGTTAGTTGTCCTTTTTTCTTTGTTGTTAATAAGTTAATAACGAATAATGGCTATCATTAGGATTATTCTAGTGACCACAGAAAAGTAACAGAAAAGCAAAATCCCTAATTTCGGTTGGCGGGCTTGAGCAAAACCACCCAGTTTATCGATACATCCTAGGTACCTGCAATTTCAGTCGCGAGTTCCGACAAAATGGCCCAATTTATCGATACATCCTTCGTCCTTGTCCCAACACTAGTCGCAAATCAGATTCAGCCTGCGCGCGACTCCGCTATGATCCAATTTAGCCAAGCGCCAACTTTCTAAAACAATTATTAGGTTTAATATGGTGAAAGTTGGTACTCGGGACAAGCTGGGACAAATTGTTTATTCTGCTTTTATAATTTTCCTTCCGCCATTTTTTATTTTAACTTCTTGACAGCAGTTAACTTTTTTTTTACGTCGGGAAATGCCTGTTGTGGCTATTTACACGCCATACCATAGTTTGTGGTCCTTCGAGCCGGATCTCCCTTCAGCCAGCTCGACCACCGCTGTCACCGGGACACTCCGGAACGAAGACGGATCGAAGAGTTTCACTTCCCTTGCAGGGATTCCCTTGTTGTTGGCAGGTAGTTGCTAATTGCTCATAAGATAGGCCCCCTTAATTTAATTTATTGTCCGTGGTGCATAATCTTTTTCTTAAAGGTTTTAAACCTTTGTTTNTATTTTAAGTGTAAAATGTTAAAAATGAATATATGAGAGTAAAACACAAAAGCCGTCGACGTACTTCTTTGGGATTTTTTTTTATCGGACAAACTATGCAATATCGTGTTTTGGAAAAGTTGTCGCCCTAGTTAAAGACATTAACTTACTCGTACAATTTTTTGTTTGCTAAAATATCTTTTCATTTAGAAGCTATCTGCAAACAAAATCGGTCAAATATCGACAATTTGGGAAATCATGGCCTTAAAGATTAGTTACTAAAGTATACTTTATGGAATAAAATAATATTTTTAGTTGAAAATTGCAAGTTTTATGCTCTTTACTAACAATAAAAATTATTTTTTTGACAAAAGTGCCTCGTTAAAATCAAAATCAAAATCGAATATGAATCAGTACTCATGTAGTCCCCAGATTTTGATATGGTTATCGAGTGTCAGCCAACAGAACTCGAAATAATATTTAAATTACAGTAGCATTTTACCTCTTGCTAGGTTTTGATAATGGTTTTTGCAGATTTGAATTGGACTTACTAGGTTTTTAGCAACGCGTTTCTCCGGTGTTAAGTGTAATAGAGCGATTTCTGTCTTCACATCCTGTGGAGACCTTAATTCTAAGGTGATTTATGACAAAAAACGAAAATCTGCAAAAGTGTCCCTTACTAGGTTCTTAAATGGTTCAGCCGAGTCTCCATTGCAGGAGCACGACCCTCTAATATACCAGAGGCAAATGGAGGATTTGGTCTACACTCCCCACGCTGGCCAGACGGGCTCACAAACCTGTGACAGAGTAATGCCTGTGAGCAATATTTCAGTTGGGGACAGACATATCCAAATTATTTATTGTAAAGAAAAATAAGTTAAAATATGTATTGTCATAAAGCCTTTTGACTTTATCGTGACATACGCCCGTATTCACAAACATTAGTATGAGGTCTCACAGTGCGCGTGGACGCACAGGGTGACACACGAATCAATCACAGAGCTCTATTCAATGCTCTGCGTTCTATTTGCTGCTTCACACAGCAAGCATCGTTTGTGAATACGGGTGTGAGTTTCTTGCGCTGCTTCTTCTCAGCACTGGCCCATTTATTGTCCCGAAGCAGTGGTGGAGTCAGGCCCGCCGCTAGCTGTTTCGTCGCCCGCGTGCAAAACCGATTATGCCGCCCTACGACTACCTACTTACTGAGTTTTGTCAAAAAAAAGACTAATTTAATTGATGTTTCCTCATTTTTCATGCTATGACATATTTTCTTAAACAATAGTCCAATCAATAGGTATTTTTTTCCTGCAAAAGATGGAAAGTAAAATGTTTTAATTTGTATTAAGTATATTTTTATGTATGGGCTAGTTATTAAAAAAGTATGTTTTCGAACTCGAGAGGTCAGAGCGTTAGTCACCATCTTGAGTTAAAGGGCCGAACATTAATTATTTTTTACATTTAACGCTTCAATAGTTGACTATATGAGAAAAATGTCTTTGAGAAGTATAAAGACGATAAAATTTTAATTGTTTAAGTATTTTTATTTATTCTGTACGTCGCGTAGATAAAAAGTTATACAAGGGAGAAAATTTTCGAGTGCACACGAGTGTGCGATAGCAGGGAGGGTTAGTGGTGGACGTTTCGTGTGCTACTCCCGCTCTAACCGCACTGGAGCAATGAAGGGTGCGGGAGCGACCCGCATATTTCCTCTCCCTTACCCGATGGGCGCTTACCCGCTTTGATCGGGAGATGGCCAAGGAGGCTGCATTCGTATGCGATAGTCACGGACGGTGATATGGCGGCCATCCAATTAAGAAAATCGTTAATTGAGGTGTGTGATGTGAACATGCCTCGATCACGCTACCGCACACCTTGTCGTGCTGTCTACTGGTGGTCGGCTGAACTAGCTGAGCTGCGTTCGCAGTGCGTAGTTCGAGTGCGTAGTTGGCGTAGACGTTCACGAGACCCGTCGTATGGCTTGCCTTTATGAAATCGGAGCCGCCAAAGACCGAGCGAGGGCAGAAATGCTCGCAAGTTTGGACTACGATACTAACTGTGGGAGATTTTATTCTAGAAACCAACTACAGCCTATTGGTCCTCCACTGGCTAAAGAGCAGGCTCTGCTAGACAAGGTTTTGCGAGCGCTCTTCCCGAACCAGTTTGCCTCTTTCGCTCTACCATCCATGATAGATTCCCGCAGTGTCAACTCAGCTGTAGAGGGGGCCCTTCTTTGCCTGCCTAGGCCGGACAACTATGCCTGCTGCGCAAGGAAGGCCGTCCAGCTAACTCAACATCGGATATGACTGGGTACAAAGCGGCGCCCTCCTCCCGGGCGTAGATGTTATCAGCTATGCAGGTGACACTCGTCACAGCCTGAGGGAGGGATTGCAGCACTTAAATTGCCAAGCGCATCTGGAGACTGGAGTGTTTCTCCTAACGCCCATATTATTTTACCGTGGATGGAGTCAGGATAGAAGTTAAGGTTCAGAGCAATTGTCTGGGCCTGATAGTGGATAGCCGGTGTCAGTTTGACCCTCATTTTGCCATACTGTCATAGCGCCTGCTTAAGGCCGCGGATGCTTTATCGTGGGGGGGTTCGAGAGCCAAATGGCGGCTCCTTTACGCCAGCATTTTGAAAAGCATTGCGCTTTACGGGGCTCCCATATGGGTTGACATCCTCGACAGAAGTCGAGAGGCCCGCTCGAGAAGAGAGGTGGTCCGCCGCGTGGCTTGGAGGACGAGGCGCACGATACCCTCGCAGTGTGTGCGGCGTGGGCTCGAGGCGCTGGGCCGGGACCTCGTGCTGGCTAGCATTCATCAAAGCAATGCTGGACAGTAATGAGGCCTGGGCGGCCATAGCCTCCTTCTGCGAAAACGTCATGTTGCAAAATGAGTCCTCGGAGCGAGAGCACGAGGACGAACCAAACGCGCCCTCACTCGGAGGGGTCAGAGGAGGGGACAATATGATCGCTTCCTGATTCCCCTCCACGGTGATGGTCAGCGGCTGATAGTGTGGGGGTGCCCCTGCCTGCATTGCACACACCATCTCCTCCGTCAGACGGGAACAGCTGCGTGATCCCAGCTGTTCTGAGCGCCCTGAGCTTCTCTTCTCGGAAGCTCTGAGCGCCCGATTTGCCGCCCCCCTGGGCGTGCCGCCCGCGTGCGGTGCACGCCTTGCACGCCCGCTTGCGGCGGCCCTGGGTGGAGTTAAAGTGATACTGGGACGTGTAAAAGCGCCTTTTAAAAGCCTATTTGCATAAAATAAACCACTCTTATGACTTTTAAATCAAGACTCCATAGAGTAAACTTTTCAATACAACATCATCTTATTATTTTGATGCAATAAAAATCCACGGAACCCTTTACAGGCATTTCGCTCGCACTTGCCCAATTTTTACAATCTTAGTCGGGATGCTGTCGTAAAATTGTATGGCTACTTGCCTTCTTACTATGTGGTTTATTGTCAAAGATAGGTATTATTCGTGCCAGTAGAATAAGTAGGCCATTTTTCTAACAAATAAAGTAAAAAACAAGGTGGACCGACGACATCATAAAGGTAGCAGGAAGGCGCTGGACGCAGGCCGCTACCAACCGGGCAACATGGAAAGCATTGGGGGAGGCCTATTTTCAGCAGTGGACGTCCTAATTATGCTGCGATGATGATGATGATAATTAATGTAAAAAACGTCGACACCTAATAGAGCGTTTCATCCACAAAGACGCGCCCCACGAGTTTTTGGTCTAAGTCGCGCGGGGCGCGGGGTCCGAGCAATCCGAGCGTCATTATTGTAGTGTACGTGTGCACTCATGGATGATTTAGCGTGTACCGATAACATTCAAACATTAGCGGAATAAGGGTGGGGCGCGTTTTCGTGGACGATCTATAACTGTCTATGTAGCCACTAGCCTTTGCCCACGGTTTCGTTCGTCGCGCATCCGTTCCAAGAACTACAAAACAATTTAATGTTTTTAACTCACACAAGAATACTAAACAGCGACTAACGCCCGTATTGACAAACATTACTATAAGGTCTTCCAGTGTTCGTGGACGCACAGGGTGACACACGAACCAATCACAGAGCTCTATTCAACGCTTTGCGCTCGATTTGCTGCTTCACTAAGCAAGCATCGTTTGTGAATACCGACGTAAGCGTATTTTATGTAAAAAGGTAGAAATAGGTTCCTTACTCATTCCCTTTCGTACTCTTTTTAATGGTCCTTCGAGCCGGATTACTAACTCAAGACGATGGAAAAAAAATTGATGCTATCGGTAGGTACGTTAGCAAGGATTATTATTTATTTAATTTAAAGACTTAATTGCACACACAACAATGTTCAGTACAAAAAAGCGAGCTTAATGCCATAAGTCATTCTCTACCAGCTCTCTATTCTCTATTATGCGCTAAACGGATAAACGGATTTTGATCAAGTTTTTGTCCACAGTGCCCATCATCCCGGAGTTTCTCTACGACATCCGCCACCCCGACGCGCCCCTCTCTATGTCACTGGATGAGATCACCACCCCCCCACCGCCGCCTACACCGTTCTGCCCCTGTGAGAGAAACGTCACCTACCCGCCACTGGAAAATGTCACTCAAGGTAACCCCTAGGCCACATACATCGCAGTAACCCGAACATTCGCGCTATCGTTATGTGTGTCCAAATATTCGCGTACACTTCGGCGCTTTTTAGGGTTCCGTAGCCAAATGGCAAAAAACGAAACCCTTATAGTTTGCATATTCGCAAGACTTCACTCAGCTGTCGCCCGAATGCTATTGCGATGGGCTCAGGTGTAATAGAGAATTATCAAGTCATTCAGAGTCTCCACTACTGAAGAAGATTCAGGGATGTTATGGATATCCGTAAGGTAACCGAAACTTTCGGATATCCGAAATAAAAAAATATCCGAAACCGTAACCGTAACCCATTCAAAAGTTTCGGATGTAAGCAGTTTAAATTGTGTTTTGTATAGCATTATAATTATGTAAAGGCATAACAGCCTGATTTACCTTTATAATGCCATCTAGTATCAATTTTTATTTTTTATTTAGGTACTTTTTAATCGATGTAAAGTGTGCGGCCATGAATGAACCGTGTTGGACAACTATTGCAAATTGCAATCTAGAGCACAGTATCCGTAACCGTAACCGAAACTTTCGGATATCCGAAATAAAAAAAATATCCGTAACCGTAACCGAAACCGGTATCATCTTATTCCTATATCGGTAACCGTATCCATAACCGAAACTACATATCCATAACATCCCTAAGAAGATTCTAATATTCCAGAGGCAATTAACACGTTGAGTGCGAAACCAGGNTGTGGCGGTCAAGCTGTAGATCCTGGCTACACAGTAGTTGCAGTGGTGGGAACGAGAGGTGGGAATAGTCCCGATTCCCTTGCAGGGGGTTCAGGTCACGGGCAATTCGGAGTTGGATGCGAATGCGTTTTGCGGAAATGCGTTGTGCGTTATGATTAGAAGATAATGCGATTTGCGGGCGATAACAATGCGTTTTTCCACTCGCAAGATTGCGAAGCGATGCGTTATGTTCGACGGAGAAGTGTCAAGGCTTGTCGTCCAGAGACATTAAGAATGACCACAGAGAGGTGGAAACCAAATAGTTTTCAACCTGCAGACAAAACTAATTGGGAATAAACAATTTTTTACGTACATCTGCTTAACCAAGAATAATAGATCAAAAATCTTTAGAGATAATAGATGATTTTTGATGATTTTAGTAAAGTTGTGACGCTCTGTTCAGCGAACTTTAGTATTAATTCTTTCCAACTTAGAGCAAGAATTTTGCTTACGATAGCTTCTCTATCCTTTAAACTTTAAGTTCCAAAAATGTTCACATTTTCCAGTCCAAAAGTCTAAAATAAAAACTTCTGTACATTATTAATCTGTGGCCCAACCAATCCAATATGGCGTTCCCGCGCAAACATGGCCGCTTGAGTGTGTCTGCGTTTGACAGCTCATTCCGCGATGGCGCGAAGTGGACGAAGCAAATTGATTTATTGCGAGGAAAATTATTGGATACGCATATTGGCTAAATATAGATTTACAGTGGTTAAAGGGAGGTGAAGTTATAAATTACTAGCTTTCCGCCCGCGGCTTCGCGGTTTTGTCTGTCACAGAAAAACTTTATCGCGCGCGTCCCTGTTTCAAAAACCGGGATAAAAACCTCCTATGTCCTTTCCCGGGACTCAAACTATCTCCATGCCAAATTTCATCAAAATCGCTTCAGTGGTTTAGGCGTGAAAGCAAGCGACAGACAGACAGAGTTACTTTCGCATTTATAATATTAGTAGTTATACATAGAAGTAGGTATAGATTAAAATTTTTAATTCATAAACTTGCCGTTTTGTAATAAGAATTTATGGAAAACTCTTTTCAGTACAAACATACAGGGTGTAACGAACGAGTGATCATTCTAATAAAAACGAGACTAGCAACCGCCCGCGACTTCGTTCGTACGCTAAACCCCGTTTTACTTCGGGGTGGAATTTTGCAAAATCCCATCTTAGTGAGCACCTACGTTCTAAAAGGAACTTGCAAAATTTGAGACTCCTAGCGCTTGTAGTTTCTGAGATTTTGTGATGAGTGAGTGAGTGAGTGACAATTCGATTTATATTGTATACTTTACTGTACTTGGATTTATAACTAAAATGACGTCCTTCCCGCTCTGATTCCATAATGACCACGCTTAATTATTGTCCCACTAATTACTGTAGGGTAAGACCTCCTATGTTCGTAACTGCCGACCCGCATGGGCAACGACTCGTGAAGATAAGGGATATAATGCTTTGAAATACCTATAATATGATAGGTTTGGAGATGCGGGACGATAATGTAACCTTTTTAACCTATAACAATAAAAGAGGTTCTTAATTCAATATAATGATTGACACAATCAGAAACTCAAATCGAATCTTCATAAATGCGAAATAATACCACTCACTGATTAAGTAATCAAGAAATCTCAAAAAAGCCAAAGACGTTTTCCCACGACGTAATACTAGGAATTGCAATAGACTTGTCCTTGAGTTCATCCCAAAAAGTACTCGTATCCAAAAAAACTGTTTCTGCACGTGTGTCCAAATATATAATAAGCTTCCTCAAGATATTAAATAACTGTCCTTTAATCAGTTAAAGACCATATTGCAAAAGTGGCTTGTCGCGCGATTATTCTACTCTCTCCAAGAATTTTTAAGCTATGGGGAAGAGTCAGCAAAAAGTGATAGGTACATATAATAAGTAATATTAATATTTCTTCGATATATTTGCATGCTCAAGCTTTTGTTGATGTCTGGTTAGGTGTTCATATTTTGTTATTTTCGACCTTCTGTATTCTATTCAAAGACAAATAAATATTTCTATTTCTATTTCAGAAACTGTAACACCTACAAACTTGCAATTTGGTAGGTAGGTTCCTTATAGGGTGTAGACATCCGCTAAGAACGGATTTTACGAAATTCCATCTCTAAAGATGTAAAACGGGGTCCAATTTTATAAAGTCGTGGGCGGTCGCTACCTACTCGCTATAAGTCGAACATTAATTTCGAACTCCTCCTATGTTCTTCTGATTAATTTTATTGCGGGTCCAATGACAGTTTAACTTTCCCCGGGACAAACTTGACCTTCATTGGTTGGGTTTTTATGGCGGTCAAGCTGTAGATCCTGGCTACACAGGAGTCGCAGCGGTGGGAACGAGAGGTGGGAATAGATAGACCCGTTTTGGTGCTGATAGATACGCAGTTTCCCACTGTGGACTTCACTTGATCAGTCCAGCGCAGTCTGAAGATGGCCTGCCACGCGATCGGGAAACTCGGCCTTCATTGGCTGAATTTTTGTCAGTAATAAAGCCTGGATCCATGCAGCGGTGAGAACGAGAAGTGGGAATAGTCTTGTACTAAATCCTATTGCCGTTAAAACACCAAAATACAAGAAATTTCATTGGAAGTAGCTTAGTTTATAACCTCGTTTACTACTACTTACCACGTTCAAAGATGTTATAATACCTACATTGTGTCAACTTTTATACTTTATGTTTAGGGTTCTTTGAAAGACGTTATTAGTGGATACGTCACACGAATTTCATGAATAAACTACATGACATGTGTTTAAAAACTAACTTTCAAAAAGCTTTAGTAAAGTGACCAAAAATTTTAACCTAACTTTAGGAAACCAAACTTTATGCAAACCTTTCTGAAAACCTGATTTTTGAAACGCAAAATTTTGAACACCCAAATTTTTTAAAACCTAAGTTAGTTATTTTAAAACATAACTTTCTGAAAGGCGAACTTTTTGAAAAGTTTATCTTTCTGAAAAAAAAATTTCGTATTTATTTTTAAATATGACGTCCATTGATTATAATCTAACGCGTAATAATGGGGCGGACGACCAGCCAGGTTCAGTCTTCACATGATAAAAATAACTGCACAATTAAAATAAAATCAAGATGTCATACCCCGTATTCACAAACGATGCTTGCTTTATGTGAAGCAGCAAATCGAACGCACAACGTCGAATAGAGCTCTTTGATTGGTTCGTGTGTCACCCTGTGCGTCCACGCGCACTGTGAGACCTCATAGTAATTTTGAGAATACGGGCAATAGAGCTTAGAAAAATAATACGGAACACTACATGCGTTGCGCTCGCACTTATCCAATTTTTACAATCTTAGTCGGGATGCTGTCGTAAAATTGTATGGCTACTTACCTTCTTACTATGTGGTTTATTGTGAAAGATAGGTATTATTCGTGCCAGTAGAATAGGCCATTTTTGTAACAAATAAAGTAGAAAAACTACCACACCTAACTCTATGTAGCAATGGAGGTAAGTCGAAGCTTAACTTCGAACTTCTCTTATGTTCTTCTGATCAATTTCGTTGCGAGTCCAATGACAGTTTAACTTTCCCCCGGGACAAACTTGACCTTCACTGGTTGGGTTATGGCGGTCAAGCTGTAGATCCTGGCTACACAGGAGTTGCAGCGTGAATTTCGGTCTATCACAAAAAGTGTTTACTCGTATCTCTTCCAAGAATCTGGGTAAAAACTATGTTTTTCTCTAGGTGTCAAACAATATTTGATATACCTACATGTTATTGTGAAAACTATACTTGTGCCTTAACGATTTTTTGCCGAAATAGTATTTTTATTGGTCCTTCGAGCCGGATTATTTAACTTACTACAAAGAAAAATGTATGTTATCACAGCAAGGATATGCGCTATAGCTCCCAAGTAGATGAACAGATATTGATCAAGTATTTTGTCCACAGTGCCCATCATCCCGGAGTTTCTCTACGACATCCGCCATCCCGACGCGCCCCTCTCTATGTCACTGGATGAGATCACCACCCCCCCACCGCCGCCTACGCCGTTCTGCCCCTGTGAGAGAAACGTCACCTACCCGCCACTGGAAAATGTCACTCAAGGTAACTCCTGGGCCACATACATCGTGTTAACCCGAAGATTCGCGCTATTGTGATGTGTGTAGTAGCCAAGTATTCGCGTATACTTCAGTGCTTTTTAGGGTTCCGTAGCCAAATAGCAAAAAACGGAACCCTTATAGTTTGCATATTCGCAAGACTTCACTCAGCTGTCGCCCGAATGCTATTGCGATCAATTATCAAGTCATTCAGAGTCTCAACTACTGGAGGAAGATACTAATATTCCAGAGGCAATTAAGCATTTGGGGAGGCCTGATGTTCACATTATTTCTTCCTTGGTTGCGTTTTACGATATCTACAATGCATGATTTTATCCTACTAATATTATTAAAATTTTAAATGCCAAAGTTTGTGAAGATGTATTTCTTGCACGTAGAAACAACTAAATGGATTTTATGAAACTACAAAATACATCAGAATAGTAAGCTGCAATAAGATATTGTGATTTTCGTGTGCACGGGCCGGAAGACGTAGCGTGGGCAGGCCTCCCATTAGGTGGACCGACTNCAGGTTTATTGACCTTGTACCGAAGGAATGGAAAGTATTAGAAAGTTACTGCCGCAGCAAAGGTGTTAAGCATTTGGCCTACACTCCCCATACCGGCCTTTGGGGAGGCCTTCGTTCGTTCGTTTCAGCCAAATGACGTCCACTGCTGGACAAAGGCCTCCTCCAAGGCTTTCCACATTGGGGAGGCCTGATGTTCACATATTTCTTCCTTGGTTGCCTCTTACGATATCTACAATGCATGGTTTTATCCTACTAGGTAGTTAATAATAATTTAAATGCTAAAGTTTGTGAAGATGTGTCTCTTGCACGTAGAAACAACTAAATGGATTTTATGAAACTACAAAATACATCAGAATAGTAAGCTGCAATAAGATATTGTGATTTTCGTGTGCACGGGCCGGAAGAAGTAGCGTGGGCAGGCCTCCCATTAGGTGGACCGACGATCTGGTGAAGGTCACGGAAAGATCTGGATGCGGGCAGCGCAGGACTAGCCATTATGGAGATCCTTGGGGGAGGCCTTTGTCCAGCAGTGGACGTCATTTACCTGAAACGAAGGATTTTCATGTGCTAGCAGCTGCTTACGCACCCCGATTCAAAATAGCACCTTAAAACTGATTCTGAAAAGGCTGTTTCCATAAAACTAACGACTTTTTCTTCTTCCAGTCAACATCACAGCCGAGAAAGAGGCCAGACACCAAGAGCTGATCCACGAAACGGTAGCAGTGGGCGTCATGTTCGCCAGCAAGGCGCTCGTGCAACTGCTGGCCAATCCCTTCGTCGGACCTCTAACTCATAGGTAAACTCATATCTCTTAACTACAGTTTGTTTCATCCACGAAGATGCGCCCCACCATTCTTCCAATAATGCTTGAGTGTTATCGGTACACGCTAAATCATCCATGAGTGCACTCATACATCTACAATAATGACGCTCGGATTGCTCGGATCAAATTCCCCGCACCCCGCGCGACCGAGACCAAAAATTGGTGGGGCGCGTCTTCGTGGACGAAACAATCTATAGGTTGCTTTGAATGTTCGGCCAAACCAACGCGTGCGCAATAGCGATGGCGATGGAAATTCTATTGATTTCTACTGATCGCGAGACCGTAACAGTGGGCGTCATGTTCGCCAGTAAGGCCCTCGTGCAACTACTGGCCAACCCCTTCGTTGGACCTCTTACCCATAGGTAAACTCGTTGTACCTCTTACTAATAGGTCGCTTCAGCTCGTTTTAACTCGACGTACCTTTTAACTATGGTAACTTCAGCTCGTTGTACCTCTTAACCATAGGTAACTTAGCTCGTCACTCATACCTCTGAGAAACAGGTACAACGAGTATAGTTAGGTAACTAACCTACACTAACAAAACTCGTTGTACCTCTTAACCATTGGTTGCTCTAACTCGTCGTACCTCTTTAGCAAGGTACTTTCAGCTCGTTGTACCTCTTGACCATATTGTTTTGTAAGTTAAAACCATCCATTCTTTTCAGAATCGGCTACAGCATCCCCATGTTCACCGGTTTCATCCTGATGTTCCTGTCTACCTTGAGTAAGTCTGCCGACATAACACAAGATATTAATTAATCATTTCAGCCAGAGGACGTCCACGGCTGGACATAGGCCTCCCCCAATGACTTTCAAATTGACCGGCTAGCAGCGACCTGCATTCAGTGGCTTCCTGCAACCTGGCCTGCACTCCAGAAACTAGGTTTCTCTAATTTCTATTATACTGAGGGTGAAATTTTTTTGGGATTTGGAATGTCATTGCCAGAACATTGATTCTTTTGTCTGGACCACTAAAGAATTTCGCCGTTGTTGCGGGTCTGCGAGTTAAACTTTCCCCCGGGACAAACTTGGCCTTCACTGGTTGGGTTTTATTGGCGGTCAAGCTGTAGATCCTGGCTACACAGGAGTTGCAGCGGTGGGAACAAGAGATGGGAATAGTCCCGTTGATAGTGTCTCAAGTGTCTGGTCGCTAAGAATTTGAAGTTTTTACTAACATAAGCTGTTTTTCCACAGTCTTCGCGTTCGGCCGTTCCTATGGTGTGCTGTTCGTGGCCAGAGCACTCCAAGGCATTGGTTCCTCCTGCTCCTCCGTGTCCGGGATGGGAATGTTGGCTGAAAGATACCCTGACGATAAGGTGAGTCTAGGATCGTCCTTCACATACAGGATTTTTAAGTATCGTTGGAAAACATTTATTGCCTCGGTAATTTTTCATTGTGAAAATCTATCAGAGGGGACTAGAATCTTGACCTTTAGTTTGCAAGGCGACTGTTAAAACTAAGCTATGATGGTACACCTATTGTATAATTCGCCCCCAATTCTATCCGCCGAACTATCCTATAGATGATACACTGAACTGTCCCCACCAAACTCATTGACAGGGGGTCGCCACCATCGTTCAACTTTACAGCTCATGGCAAAAATCGTAACCAGCGATCCGGTATTGACGGTGGCGCCCCGCTGTCAATGTCACGGGTGGCAGTTCATTGTGTTGGTTCTATACGCCCAGTATCACATACGTGCACAGAAACAAACTGCTTACCGCTAGATGGCTTTGGTTAAGTTTTTTTAATCTTGACAGTGGATTTGTTTCGCCTACTTCTCAAGATAATTTTTGCTACTTGAACATGAATTCAAATCTAGCATAAGACAATATTTTTTCCCAAGGTTTAAAACGAAATCCATGACTAGTTCTAACTATAAACTCTTGCATCCACAGGAGCGTGGTAACGCAATGGGGATAGCTCTCGGAGGTCTGGCGTTGGGAGTGCTCATCGGCCCCCCATTCGGAGGCCTGATGTACGAATTCGTTGGGAAAACTGCACCGTTTTTGATGCTGTCGGCTCTAGCTTTGGGAGATGGATGTAAGTAATTTAAAAAGCTATGCTCGGTGTTTCTTTTCGAGATCGAATCAGAAATGAGGAGATCCGTAAACGAACTAAAGTCGCTGACATAGCCCGATGGATTAGCAAGCTGAAGTGGCTATGGGCAGGGCACATAGTACGCAGAACTGACGGCCGATGGGGCAGCAAGGTTCTGGAATGGAGGCCGCGTACCGGAAAACGCAGCGTGGGACGTCCACCCACAAGGTGGAACGACGACATTAAAGGTAGCAGGAAGGCGCTGGACGCAGACCGCTACCAATCGATCAACATGGAAATGGGGGAGGCCTATGTTCAGCAGTGGACGTCCTATGGCTGAAATGATGATGTTAATGATGATGAATTTAAAAAAGTGTTTGTACGTCTTTATCGGTTTTTCGCTTTTATCTCGGAAACTATGCGTTCTAAAAGACATGTCCATTATTAGCAAAAAAAGCTGATTAAGCTACAAGCAAACATCAAGGTTTATTATTTGAAAAATTTATTTCCACGCTGGCTCAAGGGCTACGAACGGGGACTTTTGATATGTTTACCTAGTCCTAAGTCCAAACAAAGGCACGTAGTCTAAAATTGTGTTCCAACCATTTCTCTCTAACTACTTCTTCTTTGACTAAAGCCCTGTCTGTGAGCACGTAGAATTTTGTCCAATGACCCCAAGCTACCCATCCTTATCGCTCGCGCGTAATTATATGGCTGTCGCGACTGTGCGACGGGTGCCCGCAGTGAGTGTGCTCACAGACCAGACTATAGCCTATCGTAATCTATGAATCACCTCTGTCAATCCACAAAGGACAAAACTTTGATACGAAAATAAATATTATTCAGTTTTCTTAATTATGTTTGTCTACTCTCCAGTGCTTCAACTGATGATCCTGCAGCCGGGCGTGGTCCGCCAAGAGTCGGATCCGCCTTCTCTTAAGGAGCTGGTCTGCGACCCTTACATCCTCGTCGCTGCTGGTAAGACTAGGAGTTGTGGGTAGATATCTATTCTGGTCGTTAAGATGGCTGGCACAGAAAAGTTCTCAAGTGGCTATCACGAACTGGAGTACTAGTGACCTTAACTTAAGTTTACACGACTTCGAACTCCTCCTGTCCTACTATGTTCTTCTGATTAATTTCGTTGCCTGTCCAATGACAGTTTAGCTTTCCCCCGGGACAAACTTGACCTTTACTGGTTGGGTTTTTATTGGCGGTCAAGCTGTAGACCCTGGCTAGTGCCTACACAGGAGTTGCAGCGGTGGGAAGGAGAGGTGGGAATAGTCCCGCACCACGAACTGAAAAACGTGAAGTGGTGAAGGTCGCGGGAAGCGCCTGGATGCGGAAGAAAAAGAGACCTTTGTCCAGTCTAGTAGTGGGTGACATTGGGAATTTGGGATTGATGAATTTACTTTACGTTTAGGCTTTAGAGCATGACAAGGAAATATACCTACTATAAACATACTTACATAACATTATACACTCGAAAAAATTTAAGTAAACCTCCTTTTAGCGTTCGGGTGAAAAGACGCAGAAAAGTTTTGACCTCCCTTTTTTGTTCTGTTCTCCTCAGGAGCAATCACGTTCGCCAACGTCGGCATTGCAATGCTGGAGCCCAGTCTCCCCATCTGGATGGCTGACACCATGGAGGCCCGTCGCTGGCAGCAAGGAGTGGCTTTCCTGCCCGCTAGCATCTGCTATCTGATTGGTAAGCTATTGTCCGGTTATTTAGTCTCAATGAGGGCTATCGTTTTTATACTTAACAGTTGGCACCCCTGGCGATTGACAGGACCTTACTCTACAGTGGCGCCATCTTGATGAGTGCAAATGCGATAGTCCTCCTACCACTTTAGCGCTCACAAGTTGGCGCCACTGTCTTCGCTACTAGCAAGTGACAGGACCTTACTCTACAGTGGCGCTAACTGGTGAGCGCTAAAACTATAGCCCTCATTGCAGGAGCACGACCCTCTCTAAGCCAGAAAAAAGCAACTGGATAGCTGACAGTGGAAGCCCGTCGATGTCAGCAGTGAGTAACAGTCTCACCTGCCAACCTGTTGGCATGTCATCATCATACGCGCGTATTCACAAAGGATGCTTGCTTAAGTGAAGCAACAAATCGAACGCATAGCGTTGAATAGAGCTCTGTGATTGGTTCGTGTGTCGCCCTGAGCGTGCACGCGCACTGTGAGACCTCATAGTAATGTTTGTGAATACGGGCGTTAGTCTTCATTGCAGTAGCAGGACCCTCTCTTAAGCCAGAAGCAAATGCAGGATTTGGCCTACACTCTCGACGTTGGCCAGACGGGTAAGGGAGGCCTGAGGGTCTAGAAAAAGTGCAAATTTTAATCGCAAACCAGTCGAAAAGTGGTCGAAAAGCCTTTTTTTGTATGGAGTTTTGACGAATTCGATTTTCGATTCGATCAAAAAGTAGTTTGTCTAGGGGGGCTGATGTTCGCATGTTTGTCCTAATCGCTTTTACGAGGACGCAGGACGAGTAAAGAATTTAAAAACATGTGCAAGTAATTTAGGAGTACAGTTGCAGAATGAAAAGGTTCGTCACCTTAGTGTCGGTTTTCGCTTGCACTAGGTAGGTACTGTAAGAGTCAAACCTGCCAACATAACAGTGCAAGAAACAGTGCTGCTAACATTTAAATAAATATGACGTTTGCTAACAAATAAGGTTTTGCTTGTTTAATTTTCTATCTCATTAGTGNCCTCATTGCAGGAGCACGACCCTCTCTAAGCCAGAAAAAGCAACTGGAAGCCGACAGTGGAGGCCCGTCAATGTCAGCAGACTCAGTGAGTAACAGTCTCACCTGCCAACCTGTTGGCATGTCATCATCAGGTCATTTAGCCTTCATTGCAGTAGCAGGACCCTCTCTTATGCCAGAGGCAAATGAAGGATTTGGCCTGCACTCTCGACGTTGGCCAGACGGGTAGGGGAGAGCTGATGTTCGCATTTTTGTTAGGTGAGACTTTATTGATTTGATTTGATTTGATATTCTATTGGGACCTCTCACCTTACCTCACGGCTTTTATTCTCTGTCATAATTGACGTGTAAGTAGTTACTTAAGCTGGGTTGCACCATCTTATTTTAACTTCAACAAAGTGAAAAATCTGACTAATTACAAAAAAAACACCGGTTGTCGTTAAAGTTAGATGGTGCGACTCAGCCTTAGTTTGTTTAATACATACATAGTTAAGATTTTTTTTTATTATGATTGAAATAATTATAATTATCTGTAACTAGTTTTCTTTTTTTATCTAGGAACCAACCTCTTCGGACCTCTCGGCCACAAGATGGGCCGCTGGTTGGCCGCCTGCTCTGGACTGCTCATCATTGGAATCTGCCTCATATTGGTATGTCAAAACCACTAGAATGTCGTATGAAGCTCATATAAATAAACTACACTGAACTGCCCCACCAAACACATTGACAGGGGGCGCCACCACCGGTCAAGTTTATAGTTTCCAACGTGGAAAAGTNGAAAAGGCAAAAAGGTTGTTCTAGAAATGAATTCGCCATCCTTTAATTATCCGAAAATGATACCACACTTGCCCTAGTACACATAGTTTTGAAGATATGGGCCTTAAAGTGAAGTGCGGCGGAAGGAAACTTGCCCCCCCTCCCCCTGCTACCACAGGGGGGGCTCCCGATGTCTACCGACGGAAATCCACTCAGGAGCACCCAAAGAACCACTGTTGCAAAAATGAGCCTTCTATACCAAAGTGGAGGGGTCTCCATACAAATCATTGCACTAAATTCCCTACTATACATCTACAATAATGACGCTCGGATTGCTCGGATCAAATTCCCCGCACCCCGTGCGACCGAGACCAAAAATTGGTGGGGCGCGTCTTCGTGGACGAAACAATCTATAGGTTGCTTTGAATGTTCGGCCAAACCAACGCGTGCGCAATAGCGATGGCGATGGAAATTCTATTGATTTCTACTGATCGCGAGACCGTAACAGTGGGCGTCATGTTCGCCAGTAAGGCCCTCGTGCAACTACTGGCCAACCCCTTCGTTGGACCTCTTACCCATAGGTATAGACTGACCAGGAACATGAAAACCCTGGCATAGAGGCGCGTCAATTGCATTTGATAGTGCAACACTGAGTACAGTCGTACCTGTGTTAAATTAATAGGCTAACTTTATGTATCACGATTCAGGATTACGGGCTAATTTGATATTTTCATAAATTAACAAAAAAATATTATTATAGGTAACCTGGTTTAAATAAATTAAATGAAACCATCAATCGAGCTAGTAGGATTTATTTTATTATTCATCAATAATCAAATTCAGAACTTGAATATTTAACTGCAATGTCTGCTCATTAACGCTTCAAACTCGGTACTTCTTTCCCAATTCCATAAAATTCAACACTTAGAAAGTGACAAAATTTTTTAAAATAGGTAGTTGAAACAAACCACAGCTAATTTTCATAGTGGACTGTACTATACGATAAACATGTCAGTCAATTTGACAACCTTTGTCGGAAATATTATTCAATGAAAATATTGTCCGAGCCCTTAGTATTTCTCTTCGACAAATACTTTAACACATTGTGAACCACTTTTCTTTCACGACTATAAAAAGATTTTAGCAATTTAATTCACAAAATCAATTGCGCACATTTAAAATAAAGTTTGTTTACACTTTGACAGCAATAGACTGACATGCAAGGTGACATGTCAATGAAGTTTTCAGTTACTGTTGCCATTAAAAGAAATTAGTACCATTAGTTTTCCGCAACATGGCGAGGGTTTTTATGTTCCTGGTCGGGCATAAACTCGTTGTATCTTAATATGCAATAAAAAATTTGAATTTGAATTTGAATTAAGTTAAAACCATCCGTTCTTTTCAGAATCGGCTACAGCATCCCCATGTTCACCGGTTTCATCCTGATGTTCCTGTCTACTTTGAGTAAGTCTGCCGACATCACACAAGATATTAATTAATCATTTCAGCCAGAGGACGTCCACGGCTGGACATAGGCCTCCCTCAATGACTTTCAAATTGACCGGCTAGCAGCGACCTGCATTCAGTGGCTTCCTGCAACCTGGCCTGCACTCCAGAAACTAGGTTTCTCTAATTTCTATTATACTGAGGGTGAAATTTTTTTGGGATTTGGAATGTCATTGCCAGAACATTGATGTCTTGTCTGGACCACTAAAGAATTTTGCCGTTGTTGCGGGTCTGCGAGTTAAACTTTCCCCCGGGACAAACTTGACCTTCATTGGTTGGGTTTTATTGGCGGTCAAGCTGTAGATCCTGGCTACACAGGAGTTGCAGCGGTGGGAATAAGAGATGGGAATAGTCCCGTTGATAGTGTCTCAAGTGTCTGGTCGCTAAGAATTTGAAGTTTATACTAAAATAATCTGTTTTTCCATAGTCTTCGCCTTCGGTCGTTCTTATGGTGTGCTGTTCGTGGCCAGAGCTCTCCAAGGCATTGGTTCCTCTTGCTCCTCCGTTTCTGGAATGGGCATGCTGGCTGAAAGATACCCTGACGATAAGGTGAGTCTAGGATTGTCCTTCACAAACAGGATTTTTAAGTAGTTGGAAAATATTTATTGCCTCGGTAATTTTTCATTGGGAAAATCTATCCGGTGGGGCTAAAATCTTGACTTTTATCGTTATTAAAACCGGCAAGTGGAAGGTCGTGGGTTCGAGTCCCAGTTCGATTTTTTCAAGTTTTATTTAATGTATAAGCTATGTATGTATAACAGTCACACCCACCCAGCAAAGGAAAGGTCGTGGATTCAATCGATTTTCCAAGTTTTAAAACGATTTTCTTTACACCAGCCCCAACTCTTTCATCTACAGGAGCGAGGAAACGCGATGGGCATAGCTCTCGGAGGCCTGGCGTTGGGAGTGCTCATCGGCCCCCCATTCGGAGGCCTGATGTACGAGTTCGTTGGCAAAACTGCACCGTTCTTGATGCTGTCGGCTCTGGCTTTGGGAGACGGATGTAAGTAATTTAAAAAGCTATGCTCGGTGTTTATTTTCGAGATTGAATCAGAAATAAGGAGATCCGTAAACGAACTAAAGTCGCTGACATAGCCCGACGGATTAGCAAGCTGAAGTGGCAATGGGCAGGGCGTACTATACGCAAAACTGACGGTCGATGGGGCAGCAAGGTTCTGGAGTGAAGGCCGCGTACCGGAAAACGCAGCGTGAGACGTCCACCCACAAGGTGGATCGAGGACATCATAAAGGTAGCAGGGAAGCGCTGGACGTAGGCCGCTACCAATCGATCAACATGGAATTGGGAGAGGCCTATGTTCAGCAGTGGACGTCCTATGGCTGAAATGATGATGATAATGATGATGAATTTAAAAAGGAGTTTGAACGTCCCATTTGTCGGTTTTTTTATCTCGGATACTATGCGGTCTAAATACATGTCCACTATTAGCAAAAAAAGCTGATTAAGCTACAAGCAACCATCAAGGTTCATTATTTTGAAAAACTCTCCTTTCCACGCTGGCTCAAGGGCTACGAACAGGGAATTTTGATATTTTTACCTAGTCCTAACTAGTCCAAACAAAGGTAAGAAGTCAAAAATTGTTTTGCAAGCATTTCTCTCTAACTACTTCTTCTTTGACTAAAGCCCTGTCTGTGAGCACGCAGAATTTTGTCCAATGACCCCAAGCTACCCATCCTTATCGCTCGCGCGTAATTATATTGCTGTCGCGACTGTGCGACGGGCGCCCGAAGTGAGTGTGCTCACAGACCAGACTATAGCCTATCGTAATCTATGAATCACCCCTGTCTATGCACAAGGGACAAAAATTAGACACGAAAATAAATAAATCAACTTCTAA